GTCAAAATGGCACTAATATGCTTCCGTATATTACAAATTCTGCAAGGTAAGAACGGAATTTATTTATATCAACACACACACCCTCACCCTCACATACACACATTAATCCAAACCAAAGCTCGAGAATCGGTTAAAGGGTGGCAATCCTAACAAATATTGATATATGAGATGAACTCGAGCATTACCTGCTTAGCTTTACCTTGTGAGATTGCAAGCCAAACACAGAAATGTGACGCCAAGAGACATGTATAGCGAAAGCATTTGCATCGATTAGTTTAGTTCAAGGCACATTTATCTATCTATCGGTGATGATAAATATGTATGTAATTTTTTTTTTTCTATTAAAGATATAAACCCTTAAATGAGGAAAAATGAGGAAAAAAAATAGAGATTTAGTTCACAGTGTATGGGGGGGGGGGGGGGGGGGGAATCATTAACAAGTTCATTGAATGTTACTTTTGTTGTAAAACAAGTTATTTATAACACCTGTTTCGACCCCCGATTTAAATCAAACGCATTTATGTTGGTCTATGCGAGATTGATGTCATTAAAACAGCGAGCGATTGTAGACCGACTTCATGTATGGTGGACCGTTTGTGATAAAAATTGTTAAAGTCACTGAGCAACTGTATGGTGACCCATGGGAGATAAAATTCACTCAAATCAAAGATTCAATGTATAGTATCCCATATGTGATAAAAGTTAATAAAAAGTCAGAAAAGTAAAATATACGGTGACCTGTTAGCGAGTGTGTGTATGGAGGTTCGGTAATGGTAACAAATGATTAGAAATGAAAGAGGTAATATGATGATCCGTTTAAGAGAAAATTCTATAAAAATACGAGCGTGAATGTATGCTGACTCGTTACAAATAAAATTCTATGGAAAAAAAAAACATGACAAATTGTCTGGTGTTTATTCAAAATACAAAGCATGATTACAGCTCGGGTGTTTGCGAACAGGACCTGTTTCGAGACATCCAAGACATGATATGGACGCATGTGTCGCCCGTCATGGCCGACGATCTATTGAATGGAGTGTCGACACCCCCCAGACCGAGTGTGGACTTTGACGACATTACCGATTCCTCCTTCCACGAAGAGGAATCTCTGTTGATAGAGGAAGATGAACTGCCTACCCCCCACTTCTTTGATTTTTCAGAAAATCGCAGAAGTCTCCTTTCACAAGGGCGATTCTCTCCTTCGGGATCTACAGGTGGATCCACTTATCGATTCCTTGGTCGGACAATACAGTGCCGGAAAAAAAGGCGGCTTTGATATTCGGATCGTATGTGAAAAGAAATTGAAAGATGGCAGCTGTGGACGTGCAGTACGAGTTGACGTTCCATAATTACCTCTTTCGGGAAAAAAAAGATGATGGAAGTCAAAACTCTTGGTTGATGTTTAGAAGTAATGGAACGTCTAGATCCACGGGACAGTCTGATGGGTGGACGTACCAACGGCTGCATACTGTACAAGCGAGCGAACAGGAACACGAAGATCAAATACGTGGATTTTACCTCCTTGTAACCTTTTGTGAACAAGACGTGTCGGTATCCCGTCGGATACCCAGAAATCATCACTCGCAATATCCAGGACCTCGATTCGTATTTCGGATTGGCGAAAGTTAAAGTCCTGCCACCCCGTGGTCTCTTCATCCACTCTTGGGTTACCGTACAGGGGGTAAATTGACCTTTCCCCTCTGTCGAACGCCAGCATCAGACACCATGTGTCTGTAACGATAGCCAAAGGGCTCTCTCGGGAACGTAATGTACACCAGAACTCTTAAAAGCCATCGAAAAAGGTTACAAGATCTTAAAAATCTACGAGGTGTAACACTGGAAAGAAACGACGCAGTACGACTCGGACACGAAGACTGGAGGCCTCTTTGCCTCCTACATTAATATATTTCTTAAAATAATACAAGAGGCCAGTGAGCGGCCGGCGTGGGTCAAGACCTAGGCGGATCTCGACCGGTTCATACAAATGTACGAAGAAAGGGAAGGCATTCGCTTAGACCCCACACAAAATCGAAGTCAATTCGGGTCTAAGAAGTTTAGCCAAACTGAACAGTTTTGGGGGGAAATTCGGTCAGCACATGAATCTGACCAAGATCCAATTCATTCACGACAGGCACATCTGCTCTTCGGTCAAATGACCAATCCAACCGTAGAGATTGTCGACTTTAACATCGTAGATGTCGAAAACCTCATGTTGTCCACCAAACGTATTTCGAAAGAGATGTGCGCACCGGGTCACAACAACGTGTTTCTGGCCTCTTTTACCACCTGTTGGGCCCGACTCAAACTGTACGAGTTATTAGATCGATTACACACTCGCGTCCTTTATTGAGACACGAATTCCGTGATCTACGTGTCTAAAGAAGGGGAGTGAGAATTTTTAACCTCCCACCCCTAACAAAAAAACTAATTAACTATAGTAAATCAAAGTGTCAAAGTTATCACTATAGTTAACTATAGTTAACTATAGTAAACTAAAGTTAACTATAGTATTTTTTGTTGGGGACTGGCGAATATCTCGGAGAGCCGTTTTCACAGTTACCACTTTAGAAAAAAAAGTGTCAAAGTTATCACTATAGTAAATCATAGTGTCAAAGTTATCACTATAGTTAACTATAGTAAACTAAAGTTAACTATAGTATTTTTTGTTGGGGACTGGCGAATATCTCGGAGAGCTCGCCGTGTGTAAAGGAAAGGATTTTCTCTCAACTACGCCAACTCTCAGATTCTCAACCTGGAAAGTATTAGAGACACCATGTTAAATCGCGACGATCCAGTAGTGGGAATTTATCACACCACCCACACCAGTAAGATCTGCCGGGAAAAGGTCTACTCGGAGCTCTACAGTCAAGAAGAACTCAGACAATACTCTGCCATTTACACTAAAAGAGTCGTGCAGCGTGATCTTACCACCCTACTTTACGGGTATTGACAACATTTTTTAAAATAATTTTATTTTGCAATTGTACATGATGTGACTATTATAATTTATTTATTAATGTTTTGTACAGAAGAGAAATATTAATCCACTTGTCAAATAAAAAAGTTCAAAACTTGATCCAAGTCTTTTTCTTCTTTGGGAGAGTTGTGCGCATGCCCAGTGGTGACTTCATCTTCAGGTCATTAATCAGTTCAGGACAACTCTGGCGAACTGCTGTTGTGGGTTCGGGTTTATAATAAATGTTTTGTACAGAAGAGAAATATAAATCCACTCGTCAATAAAAAAAAAGTTCAAAACTTGATCTAAATATTTTTCTTCTTTGGAAGAGTTGTGCGCATGCCCGGTGGTGACTTTCTCTTCACGGGTCGGTCGGAAAAAAAGCCGGTTCCGGTCTGACGATCCGTCGCGGTGGGTTCGGGTTCTATCTGAGGGACTTAAGGTGTCTCGGTATTTGTTTTTTGTTCTCGTACTTCTTTACGATCATTCTGACTTAGTTTCATCTGAACGGAGGTCGTCTTCTTCACGAGAAGGTATTCCTCTGCCATCTTTGAAATGTGGTTTCAGAATCAGGGGTATGGCCTCCGTGTGTTTCCTCGACAATTTCTTGATCACGGTGTTGTTCACTGCCCGGTCGCTGAGGGACTGAAGTAGTTTTTTTTATGAACCTTGAGTTTTGTCTTGTAATAACCAGACACGGGGGGATGTCCCGAGTATAGATTGAGAGCGATTTCTCGAAAACCATTCAACTGCTCGTCCGAAGCCATGTCCATCAGTTCTTTCCTCTGCCCGGGATCCGTCACGTACAGGAACTGCAGAAAAGCCGCGTGACGTCTGGGTCTCATGACGAACAATGACGCCTCGAATGCGTCGGCGGTCGTATTTATTGGGGCAGGTACACGACCGTTTCCCCTTTTTCCGGTAAGACGTTAGTGCGCAGATGTCGATCTTCGGGGCCGTGATTGGTCAGATCCACCAGAATGTAACAGTAAAGACGGCGGACGGCCTTGGCGTATGGGTCCATCCAAAATTTAGAACGACCCGTAAACACCTTACTTCCGAAGGTGATGATCTGGCTATTGTCTCTCACGTTCTTGAACAGAACGTTCTTGAACAAATCCGAGGGATCCGGAAACCGGTTTCCGGCGTGTCCGGAAATCTTGAAAATTGACATAAGATGGTAACGATTGAATACGAGCAAAAAAGATACTATGATATTACATCCTTAAAATGCTAGAGTCATAGGGTTCATAAAAATAAACAGCAATATCATGTTTTTACAACAAAAACTAAGAGCCATAAGATATTTTACAACAAAGATACAATGTCATCATCTGAGTCAAAGGATGCGGTCTCCCTTTAAAATAACGTCATGCACGAGGGACTCTGACGTCATACCAATCACATCGGTTATGGAAGGTCCTTTCACTCGACAATACAGGAAAAACAAGGTATGAAGTGCACAACTGGTGGCAGGATCCGGCTGTACTTGTACGTTGATGAAGAGACAGATCATGGCGTTATGATCGATAAAGTCTCTCAGACGACTATAGCACTCTCCTGGCAATCTTCCAAAACTGTCGTAAAATTCGCATTCGTTGGCGTTGTCGAACCAGTAAGCGACCCAATATGTCCCCCTCTTGTCGATTGGGTTCGTGTTGTAGACGAAAGCCAAGGGAAACTGTCGAACACGCGCAGGCAGCGTGTCGGAGGCAAACACCCCCCGAAAGTGAAGTTTCAAACCGGCAACGTCTCTACCAGATGAAGTAACTGAACCGTATCCATGTCTGCATTTGCCGTATCTCTCTGGCTTGAACGACGAGGAGCAATCCTGGATATTCGCAAAGGCCAGAGCACTCACGGTCTCCGTGGTTGGTTAGGAAAATCGAGCGTACACTCCGACGTTTGCCTGATGTACCAGGTTTAAATACCCCTCACCCAGGTCGTTGGGGTCGAGGTCAAAGGCATAAATGGCATATCCTTTAGAAAACTGGTCGCGGTCGATGATCAAACCGTCGTCCTTGCACCATTTTTCGGAAGCTTATTACAGGTTACAGAGAGCAGTGACGTAATTTCGATTGTCACCAAAGTCCATTTTCAGGGAGCGGGCGGGCGTGAGTTCTCCGTTGACCGTCACAACGATTTCGAACAGACTGAGGTGTTGAAAGTTGAAAGGATTGCCCTCGTAGCTCCCGTTAAAGGTCGATTGTTTCACGAAGGCCAAGTACATCTTGGAAGGTCTTCTTCCGTTCCACACGTCGTCCCAGTAGACTTCACTGGTCTTATCCGAGATGGTCATTATCTTGACATCGATCTTCAGACAATTGTACCGGGCCGGCGATTTGTTGATGGCTTTGGCATGTCGACCAGGTACACCTGCTGTGAGCTTATCTTCCTTGAACTACTGGCATCAATTTTTTTTGCAGTTTGTTTGTTTGTATGTTATTTAACGTCCCTCTCGAAAATTTTTCACTAATATGGAGACGCCACCACTTGCCGGTGAACAGCTGCAAATTTTGTCCTAATCTCGGCACTTACGGGCATTGAGCAGTGAGGGATCTTTTTCGTGCCAGCACCTACAGCGACACGGGACCTCGGTTATACGGTCTCATACGAAGGACCGGTCTCCACGTCCCACAGTGGGATTCGAAACCGCGACGTAAGGATCAACTCCTAACTTCGCGACTCTAGAGCAGACGCTCTAACCACTGCGCCACGCGGGCGACTTTTTTTCAGTAAAAAAAGAATTGAAAACATTTTTTTTTTTTTTTTAGAAAATTCAATATTTTAATTTAAAAGAAATATAATGACAACATTTTTAAATGATGCATTTTTATCGCTTTAATCACTAATACTGAATTTCAATAATCGACGTCCTATAGCATGAACTTCTTCCGGTATTTTTGTCCGTACATACATTGTACATATATATTAAAACAACAAGATAAGTATAGCCAGCTGTAATTAAGCAAGCAAAGGATTAAAAAAAATCAGCAATGATCGCCCTTGTAACCAAATTGGTTTCCTGATTGTGTAAGTTTCTTTTGCCTTCTTTTGAGATATTATCAAGCCCTTTTTAATCATTTGCAAACAATGTTATGATCCGTTTACAAACCTTAATCCTTGTACTATTCTACAATACTTACAAGAAACTGATTTTTACAATATGATTTTAAATGTATATATTTTTATTAGCATTCTTCATAATTTTCAATTTAACTGTTTTAAAATTTATAAATTTTAAAATTTTTAGTCCGTTGGATAAGACATTTATTGGGCCCCGTTTCAAGAATTGCAACCCCCCCCCCCCGTGTTTTCGATAGAGATAGTCTCTTTGGGGCCGCCAGAGAAACCCCAAAAAACTTTAAAAACCGTTTATACAATATTTACATTCATACCGCGGAAATATGGCTGAAATATTGCCGACTAGGTGTAAAACAACAACAATCAATCACTCATACGAGGGTCGTTCAATAAGTAATATCATAGTAAATTCACAGTTGAAATGTTCAATTAAAGACCTCCTAATCTCAGAAGACCCGATGATTTTTCCTATTGTCTTTGCAAAGAAATTCACTTTTAAAATATGCATGGTCACTACACTGAGCTGAAAACTGTTTCAAATGATCTCTGCTAAAAAGATGAAAATGAGAGCGTATGTGAAAACTGTGCCTCTTTACATAAATCTTCGAAAAACACATATTAAAGATGTGATTTTTATATGTGAAAAGAATAGTCTTTAACGCTGTATAGTTTTCAGATTGATTCAGAAATTCAAAAGTAAAATAGGAGAGTTGAAATATAAAAGTCAAACTGGTCGTTTGAAATTTGTAGGGATACCAAAAATTATCGATGCAATGTGCAATATGATATCTGAAATTGTCAGATTACAACCCAAAGACATTGCTAGGACACTAAGCATTTCATCGACATTCCATTTTAAAGAATTCTAACAACGGAAATGAATATAATAATATTTCTATCATAACAAAAATTGCATAAAAAATTAGAATATAACATATTTTTGGTGCATTGGCACTATTTGGCAGAGCAAGTTAACAGATGCAAGTTCTGAAGATAAAAATAAACATAGATACTGGCCACTAGAGTTTGACCTTTTTGTATCGTTTTCTGAAAAGTTTTAATCTATTGTGGGTTCCTCAATTATGCGGATTCACAACACGTGTGTGTTGAAGCTTACATGAATTCTTAAAAACGCAACACTGCATCAATGTACGACTTGTTTCATACCAACTAGTCCGCCATATTTCTTTCAGATACCTTGTCTATATACCCCAGTATCCTCGTTACACTTGAGTGAATTTTTGGTTTGGCTATCGACGCGTGCACATCTCCGATAGAGAAGTATTTGGGAACCTATGAATTGATGAAAACTTTTTAAAACCAGAACAGATAAAAACAGTCATAACGACAATTATGAATAATTATCGTTTTGAATAATATAAATGCAAGTTTGGAAGAAAAAACTTAGTACATATGTAGTTTCGCCTGTGTTTTAAAAGCATACCATGCAATATATGCACAATAAACTTGAAATAATACACAGTAAAACTCGAACAAACAATTTACAATAATCTATCGTAAGAAAGGAACAAACAACCAGCGTATTTGCTATGCATATTCATATGCATTCACATATTTGATGCATATCGAGAGAACATGTCGAACGCTGTAAACTTATTCATACCTGGAAAGAGACCACTGTACCGGTTCGAAGATGTGCACATGCCGAGTGATTTACACCTTGTATTCCATTTATTGAAATATGCACCACAAAAAAGTAATAAACTCCGTAAATATTCAACAATTATTCAGCTTTTGCTTGTTAATCATTTTACTGCCCCCCTCCCCCCCCCCCCGCTCCCCCTGGCATACACACATTTTGAGAAACGGTGCTACGTGCCTGTTTTATATGCATGTATAGGAAGCCTTTCCAGATTGGAGAGTTTCCGCAGGCAGTTTAAAATTTGGTACCTATTCAATTTCTTGTACTTTTAGAAGATCTTAAAAGATAGTTTAAGGATTACTTGAAACCTTGACCGCAAGATTATGGATGAATATTTTTTGCATTTTCAATACAAGTATATTCTCTCTCTCTCTCTCACATGTGTAAGCATCCATATATGTAAGAGCAATAATGCATATAAAATCCTATGTAGTAAAAATCTTGGGATATGCTATAGTCTTTATAAGGGCAGATTAAGGAAAATTTTCTGGGGCAAGAGTGGATCAAAACTGCTGAATAAAATGTCTCCTTTTTTTGACAAGCCAAAAAGGAAAAGAAAAGAAGAAAAAACCTACTCACCCAAACGAAAGAGGAACTAAACAATTTTGAAAACTATATTTCACGGAAATGGAAACATGTGGACCCTTCTCACGTACTTTCCAGAGGAAACGAAGTCAGTTTTTTTTGTTTCTTTATACCAATTAGAAGCTCTGAAGAGCACAGAAGGTTCCTACCAGATATTTTTTAGACAGGAAAAAAAAAAACTTTCAAAATATAAAAAAAAAAAAAAACAATTTTTCGGGGGAGGGGAGGGGGACACTCTCAAGGGCACATGTTTTCCTTTCCTATAAACTTTGACTTTTAATATATAATATTTAAAGAAGTAATAAACATGCACGCAACCATTTTTTAATCATTCAGTCATATTACAAAATTTCTTTAGATATCTAGAACGTGTAAATATGTGTAATTGTTAAAAAAAACACTTATGTTATGTAATGATTAGTACTTTTGCATCGCCTTGTGATATCTCTGGCAATGCGAGGATTGTTGAATCACCCCACTTTACATTTGGGTACACAGTAGCACTATTTCAATTATCAATATTACTTTCATATATACTAATAGTGTAATACTTACTCATCTTCACACATGTAATGTAGATTATGTTATATTTAGAGTACGAGTTTCCTACTGTATCGGATATACAGCTGGGGCGGGGCTTAAGGCGATAGCTCGAGCCGGGCCCCGTCCTGTATCTCCGATACAGTAGGAAACGAGTATTCTAAATGACTTGTGACATGACCTTTCTTATGACCTCGCTAATTTACATGTGTATTTGGGTATATATCTCTCAACCAATTAGATGATTTTGCAGAAAGTTGATTTAGTACCCCATTTTTTATCAATCGCAACTGAAATGCCGAGTGAGGTGGACGTGCAGGTATCCATCAATTTAAATAATTATAATTATGAGATGCATTATATAATGTGTTTTCCCAAAATTTAATTTATATTTGATTGCTTAGTTTTTTTTCTTTCTATTTAGCTCTTGCTGACTTCGTTTAAAATCTAAGCTACGAACTTAGTGCAAAACATTTTGATACATAAGAATCATATATGGGAATGTATTTGAAGAAAAATGTTTCGGGGAGGTCGTATTCTGAGAGAAATGATCGACAATGTCATACATGTGTATGCAATTAAAATTCTTGGCTCCAATTTGAAATAAACAGATGTAAGAAAGGGGGCATATTATCTTCATGTTTGAAACCAAATGTAGAGGAACCAAAGGCAGATCCAGCACTCACTCGCGTGCGTCGGTATCCCCCCTTTTTATTTTTTTTTCTGGCTTTGTAAATTATGTTTGTTAAACTTGTATACACTTTTAATTTATCAACACGAAACGATCACGCACACATAGTGTCAGGCCTGATTATGAATCTACCCCCCATCATCCCCCCCCCCCAAGAAACTCCCGATTTTCCAGTTTGGACACTTTTTTTCGAAAAAAAAAATTGTGTACTGCTCCCACTCCCTCCTTTCTAAAATTTTTGAATCCGCCACTGGTAACTTCACGTTGTAAAGTTTTATTCTTAATTCATCTCAAAATTTTGAATAAATACTAACAGCGCTATCATGCGATTTGGTTGATTCTACAGTACAGTTTCTGCTCATTTGCAATAGAAACGCCCTCTAAAAGTGTTCTATATCGCAGTTATTGTACGGCTGACTTCAAAGGAAAACTCGCCGGGTCATGTCACAATTTATATACACATATTTACGTCTGTGCTTATGTGTTTATAAAATAATCTACCTTTCATATTTTTGTATATATTGAAGTTGAGTAAGTCTGTCTGTGCTTGTTGGTAATTGTATCAACCGTGCTTGTAATTTGTGACGCCTAAAAGGGTCCTGATTTGAAAATAATCCGTCTACAGAAACAAATTATTCAGTGTGTGTAAATTTGAGATATATTAGTTTTATATCTAAAATAGTTGAGGCCAGTTCATTGCACGTATTTAAATATATTTGATCAAGGAAAATCCTGCCTTTTTCCCGACATATTGAAAAAATGTATTCTACATATTCCACCCCCCTTTCATTTTCTTTAAAAGATGTAAGATCTGTAACAAGAATGTATGTTTATGTAATAAATTTGTAGTAATGAAGCCACATTCATGAACATATTTACGACAGGTACCGACAACAGTTAGTTCGATTTCTGAAACGTTTTATTTGCGTGATTATATTGTCTTATCAGGCAAATACCAGTGTCATTTCCACCTTCGATATTTTCCCTGACCAAAAATGCTGATCGGCAGGGACCACGTGTGTTCAAGTGCTAGAGACAATGTGTTTACCGTTGAGTTACAAATGGAGTTATTTCATCTGTGATGCATATTTCAATAAAAGGAAAATGGGAAGTAATTTTTTCGACATGTGCACATCTCTGTAGCGATAGCAGTATTTCAGGCAGATAGTTTAGAGCGTTCGACGCGTTTTCTCGGAATGCATGCATGTACAACTTGAATGCGTAAGTTGCATTACCATAGTATGTGCATATACCGTGCAGCATGCATAAAGCTCAATAGTACAGTGTTATTTGGATAAAAAATGCATGTGGTAGTCTTTTCTTCATTATTGTTCATGCATATATATGTATATCAAAGATGCATTTGCCGTTTTGATTTTTATGCATTGCATTATTCAAAATTCATATACTCCATTCCAGTTTTCAATAAAATTCCTAGTTTTGGTAGGACTGTCAGATTTATTGCATGTTCCAAAACTGCTTTTTCGGAGATGTGTACAGGCCTACGTATTTTCGGTCAATTCATGGCGTGTTCCAAAACTTTACTATTGAAGATGTGCACATGTCGACAGCCAGGCTAGAAAATCACTCAAGTGTGAAAAAGACATCAGGGTTTATATAGCCGATAAAATAAGTGAGCGAATCTGAAAGAAATATGGCGGACAGGGAAGTACGGGAATGAAATAAGTCGTACAAGGATGAAAATATCACATATTTAAGAGTTCATGTCAGCTTTAACTGGAAACGTTTATTCAACGACACAAAACATAAGTAACTCGCACATCATTCAGTTCATTCGTACATATACACATTCGTATAATATCATTACATCTCCCTTCTTTTGAGTAAAACAAGTATGCTAATAAAAAATGCAAAAAAAAATCTGTAAACACATTTGTATGATTGAACAGAACCATTTTCTCATTTAAACATTTACACAGATACAATTACTTTGGGTTTCACAACTCTACCATAACGAGTAATATAAGGGGTGGGGTTACATGTAGCAGGAGATTCATGCTTAACCTCAGTAGCTGGCTCTGAGATTGGCTGAACAGAATGAGGACTAGCTGAACTAGGGGGCGAAGTAGAAGGTTCTGTGAAACTGACGATATTGGAGTCTGATGTATCTGGCTCAAAATTTTCTTTTGAGTGGATCAGGTGTCGTCTGTTTCTACGGTACAGTGCACCCTCTGTGCTTTTTACTGTATATGATCTGTCTCCCTCTTCTTTGGTTCTTCGCTTCAATAGTTTCCCTTCTTGGTACCTTATACTGTCTCCTACTGAAAGGGATGGTAGAGGCTTAGCACTGCGATCGAAGTATTCGTTCTGTCTGTCTGTCTCTCTCTCTCTCTCTGCTTCCATCAATTCCCTAACCCTGACTGGCACCTTTGGTTTTAGTTCATCCGACACTACTGGAAGTATAGACCTCAACTTCCTACACATTAATAGTTGGGCGGGTGAGTAGCCAAAGTTCAAAGGTGTTGTCCTGTATTCTAGTAGTCCTAGGTTATAATCTTTCCAATCTGCCTTGCTCTTATCCAAGATTCTTTTGGCAATCTGTACTGTCTTCTCCGCCAATCCATTGGACTGTGGATACTTTGGACTGGAAGTGACATGGTTAAAGTCATACTCCTGAGCAAATATGGAGAAATCCTGGATTGCGTATTGTGGACAATTATCTGATACAACTTTTCGTGGAATACCAAGCCTACTAAACATCTTCATTTTCTGTATAACAGCTTGACTGGTTGTCTTGTGTAGTTTCTCTATTACAAAGTATCTGCTGTAGTAATCAACCACTAACAGGTACTCCTGGTTGTTTCATGTGCTGTAGCTATGGTGTCCCATGGGTAGTCTGGAATATCATGACTGATCAACGGCTCCTTGGGGTTTGAGTTCCTCTTCTCTAAGCAAACCCAACATTCCAGAACCATGTTATTGATGTCTGCTGACATGCTGGGCCAAAATATAATATCTCTATCTCACCTCAAGCATTTTTCCACACCCATGTTGCTGATATGTACAGCTTTCATCATCTGGCGTCTTAAGTCTCTTGGTATGATTATCTTGTGACTCTTAAATATAATGCCATCTATTTCTGTCAACTCATCCCTATGGTTCCAATATTCTAGTGCTTGGGATGGACATTTCTTTTTGCGTTTTTCGGGCCAACCATCATGTATTATGATTATAAGTATCTTCATTTGTGGGTCAGCTTGGGTTGCTAATCTGACTTCCTCTAATCTTCTATCACTCACCCTACTGCTGGACATCACTGTATGTACATGTGGATCCATGCCTGCTGTTAGCTGTGGGTAAGTATCTGGCAAAAACTTGCGTGAAAGGGTATCCGCAATTGGTATGTCTTTGCCTGGGATGTGCATCAACTTCAGATCATAGGCCTGCAGTTGCAAAAGCATCCTTCGTAACCTTGCTTGGGCCTGTGCGAGTGGCTTTGTGTGAATGGCAACTAGAGGTTTATGGTCTGTATGGATCTGGACTTCCCTACCATACAGGTACTGGTGAAATTTCTTGCAGCCAAATAAGATAGACAACATCTCTTTCTCTATCTGCGCGTAGTTGATTTCTGCTGGCGTAAGTGCAAATGCAACTGGTTTGTCATCCTGCAAAAGCGTAGCTCCGAGTCCAAACTGCGATGCATCAGTCTCCAATACTACTGGTTTTCCTGGGTAAAAGTATGTAAGCAGAGGTCCCGGTGTTCTGGTTATTAGGTCCTTGACCTTCTGAAATGCCTGGACCTGTGGTGCATCCCATACAAACTCTCTGTCTTTCAGCAGCAACTGACGTAACGGACTGGCGATGTTAGCAAGATTTGGTGCAAACTTTGAGAGGTAAGTGATCATACCCATGATAGTCTGAAGCTCTGACTTGTTGGAGGGGGGCTCCATATCCTTGATGGCAGCTACCTTAGAGGGGTCTGGCTTCAATCCCTCTGCCGAGAGGATGTGGCCAAAATACTCCACTTCCTGAACTCCAACTTGTAATTTCTCTTTGTTCATCTTGATGCCCACACTCGTGCATCTATCTAACACCCTGATTATGTTGTCATTGTGCTCTTGTGGTGTCCTGCCATAAACCAATATGTCATCAACATGGCAGCGACTCCTGGCATTCCTTGGAAGCATTTGTCTTGCGAGTTCTTCAAGCCAAATGGTAAACGCCACGCTAGGTAGCGGTATCTCCCAAATGGAGTATCGAATGTAGTGAGCAGAGATTGTTCACGTGAAAGTCTAACAGTCAAGTAACCAGAGCTGGCATCTAGCTTAGAAAAGTACTTAGCTCCTGAGACTTGAGGAAGGATATCGTTTAAGGTCCTCATAGGATAATGTGGCCTCATAATAGGTTTGTTAAGTTCCATAGGATCCAAACATACTCGAAGTTTTCCAGATGCTGGCTTAGTAGTAACGACTAATGAGTTCACCCATTCCGTCGGTTCCGTTACCTTGGTGATGTTCTGATGTTCAATAAAATAAAGACACAGATTCAAACTATACGATTTACGCAATGTCATTTATTAATTGTTAGAAAATATTAATATGCGGCTGTCTTTTTATATTGTTACGATAATTATGATGTTTGATGACGTAAATATTAATCTTGTCTACAATTTTGATGCATACAGGCATATCTACTATTTCTTCTGTGCCTTTTTTTTGGAGAGTGAGAAAATGATATTAAAATATCCGTTCAACATTATGTCATTTAGTTTCGGGATTTAAAGATGACGAGAGAGATTATGCATGTCTAGATGCAAAGGAAAACAGACTAGCATTTCGAACCCTTCCACATTTCATCTTACAAATAAAACAATTCTGAGCATAAAGACTCTTGAGGCAAACTGAAGATTACACATTATAGTATACCAATGTTACGAGTTAAATCTGCAATGCTGATGTGAAGAAGCAAGAACTCTTACATAAATTTTACAGTAACCAAACAAAATACTGCAAGCAAAAATATTTTAAAATGAAAAACAAAACTCAGGAAGCAAAATTGTAAACTGAAAGGAATATCATTTTTGGATTTTCTGGTCAAACGTTTTTACTAAAAATAGATTGCGAAATGTAACGGTATTGTTCTTCTGTGTGACCACTTATCTGAAGTAAATATTTTGTATCATCAATGTTAAAATGTGAAGTTAAGACATTAAAAATATAATCTTTTTCTTCTTTTTTCTGTTACCCAGAATCATGATTATTAAAGTTTAATTGCATAAAACACCTAGATTTGCCTGATTAATAAGATATATTGACGGTCTACTTCCTGTATAATTAGTTGATCACACTATAGAAACGCAACGTTACGCCATAGAAACACAAAGTTACACCAACATTACGCTTATGAAAAAAAAAACGTCAGCAATAAAACCAATAAAAATGATCGCTAATTAATTTAAAACCAGTAAAACACTAAATTATATCAATTATTGAGGATTACTCCTTATTTGGCAAGTGAAAAAATCCTACAACAGAGCATAGTTTACTGTGTTATATCTTGTCAAATAGTGTCATATTTCATAATTTTTAAGATTGACTTTTTAATTTTTTTATTATTATTGAAAAGAGCTGCATAATGTTGGACAATATCAAACAAATTGAAAATTAAAAAAAAATTACAATTGCAATTTAATATTGTACGTTTTTTTAAATGCCGTTTTCTATTAATATTCCGTGTTGAAAAAATTATGTAACGTGTAAAACTAGTATAAAAACAGTGCACTCTCCATTGCGTTAACTAGTTGTTGACAGCACAGCCTAATATTTCAAAAAATCACATTTTTCAACTGTTTTATTATTTGCATTTTTATTTTTATTTTATTTTGTATCATTTTAAAACACAAACATGAATAAACAAACATACAAAACAATTATTTTAAAAAATCTATTTCAGAAACAAATAATGTACATGTATTTTAATATGACCTAAACCAAATATCAACTTTGCTAAGTAGTATATAAAAGTTCATTACTACCGAAATAATTTCATCATAAATATTTTGACTTCCTTTTTTTCTCCAAGAAAAGTCCTTCTTAACAGAGAATTATACCGACTTCAGAACTTTTAACAAATTTGCGAGGAGTTCTTTGTAGGAGAGAGCGTATCTTTTACCATCGTTTCCTTACTAAATTTTTTAAGTTCTTTTTCTGTAACACATTGTTTCAAAACATTTTTCCTGTACCGCAACTGTGCTTTCATGGCCTTGATTTTTTCGTTGACACGATTGAGCTCCTTTATTTTTAATTTGCATTCCTGCGGAGATTTCCATAACACATATAAAACAATTTCATCGCTCTTTTTTTCAAGACGATGTAACATTTTTTCTCTTAACTTCTGCTTTGTGTTGAAATTCTTGCTCTTGTCGCTCATCTCGTTTTTGCTGTATTTCTCTTCTCCGTGTTTCAAAGATATATCTTTCCGTTTGTACAGATTTCCTGGCTTCTGAAATGAGAACTTCTATTTTTTTTTTCTTTACGTAGTAACCAGTCAGATGTTTTATTCATCAAAAATAGGGTTTATGCTTCAATTGCAAGAGTAGATATGTTAGATTTACTTCAAATCTGGTCCATATATGCAAAAAAGTCTTTCTGAAAAGGAATTGTGCTTGTCCACACTTTTTGTTAGTAATGACAGCTCCTCGGTAACAATTTCTTATTTCCGTTTGGTAAATGGTCTTTGTAAACATGAAAAACGGCATTCCTGATAGAGGGTAGCATAACGCTTAATATGATCACGTCTTCTGTGTCATATTTAGATTCGCTTATCAAACATTCAAATATCTTGTCACCATTCAAGTTGTTTGGTGTGAAAGCAGAAAATTTTCCCTTTGTAAAATCTGGCAAATTTTGACTAGCATCTGCTAAATACGTTGATAAATTAAGGAAGTGGTAAGACATACTTTCAGTGGAGAGTTCTCTGCTTTCAAGGAGATTCCATAATGGATTTGTGATCAATTTTGCAATAAGACCTAAAGCTTTCAATCCGGCGACATAAAATGAAACCTTAAGATCCGAAAGTACAGACGTAAGAAGTCTCTTACTTTCAGTGCAGGTTTTTTCCAGAAAAACAATCATGTGAGAATGGAGATGAAAGATACAAGCTGCATTTTGAAACAAAGTATTAAACCTATTTCCCTTAAACGACTGTAATGGAAGGGATGTGATACCATTTTGCTGAAGAAAAGGTTGCATGTATGTTCTAAAACTCATAAAGCACCCACTTTTTTCATTTCCGCGCCCAGCAAAAGCTTTGCATGCATTGCGAATCACCCGAAAGCAACCTGATTCGCTTTCTTTTGAGAATCCTTCATGACAGATTGGTGGGTTCTCTTGAAAATTTCCCTTCTCTGCTTCAAACAGACTTTTCTGTGCTGCATTTGCAATGTGAACTAGTCCATGGAGACATCATCTGTATGTAACGTATTGGTTTTTTTTTCTCGGGTAATAATTTCTCCAGTTGTTTTTAGCGAGTGAAGACGTTGCATGTACATATTTGTTTGGCATGGAAGATGATCATTTTTTTTCCTGCCAACTTTAAAAATGCTTCAATAGTTGGTCCTATAAAGAGAAGTACTTAATGTTAATATTGGGGTTATCATTTTCCTCTTGTAATTCGCTCATGAATTTGTGATTGATTGATTGATTGATTTTGTTTAACGCCGAGTCGGCAATATTTCAGCCATATTTCGACGGCGAAAAGTTATGTTCAGGATTGAAAGATATTTTGGGTTTCTCTGGCGGCCCCCAGTGAGCCTACTCTTTTTCCGAAAACCAGAAAAACGATCTTTTTCGTGCCAAGGGGGTTGTTATCCTTGACACGGGGCACCATTTAACGTCCCATCCGACGGACTTAAAAACATTTAAAAGTATATGTAAACAGTATAATTCATAATAATAATAAAAATTGTTGTTTAAAATATATTTATATCTATATCTTACTATGAAAATCAGTTTCTTGCAATGTATTGTAAAATTGTACTTGTACTTATATTTGTAAAAAGAACATGCATTATTTGCACATTATTAAAAAGTTTATTTCGAACAGTTGAGAAATCAGAACTTTCTAAAAAGAATATGGTTTATAGTTATTGCACAATCACAAGATATGCATTCAGGTTGATGTTCCCCGTTTAGTAAATTTGAATGAGTAAACCTTGAATGTCCAATACGTAGTCTTGATGTAATGACTTTGTCCTGGCGTTTCAGGCCAAAATCAGATGACTGATTAATTTTGTTTTGTATTGCATAAAGTTTATTATCACAAAAATCCTAAAAAAATTGCCAAAGTGAATTTATGTAAGTTTTTACTAAAGATTTCAGATCATTGTAAGGAATTTTAAAGTGTACAATTTCATATTGAAGGGCTTTTTTGCTGCACTATCAGCCTTCGTGTTTCCAGAGATACCAATATGACTTGGGATCCAACAAATTTCAATAGCTTTACCCTCTTTAATGAAGTGATAGTACTTGATCAATATATCAAAGATGTATGGGTGGTCAATGTTCATATTGTTTATGGGTTGTAAGCAGGAGAGCGAGTCTGAAAAAATTGTAAAATAATTCTCACTAGATGTTTTTTATATATTTTTTAAATGCAAGTTGTATTGCCTTTGCTTCAGCTGTAAAAATTGTTGCTTCATTAGGAAGTCGTGTAGAAAACACATCATCTTTAACCACTGCAGCGGCTGCAACTTTGTTTTTGTCTTTTGAACCATCTGTATAAATTTCAATAGTCGAATGTTTAAATTGTTTTATTTCAGCTAATTTCTGCTTGAAAACGATAGAATTTGTTTCTGACTTAGTGAATTCAGTTAGAGAAGTATTTATATCTGGTTTAATTAATTTCCATGGCGGTATTTCAGAATGAGTAGTCGGTTTAACGATATCCAACAGTAGGTCTGAATCTCTTATGTGATTTTTATATCTTAAACCAATTGATTTGATGCACTTTTTCTTTTTATTATATAACTCTTCATGCTCCGGATGAAACACACAGTCAAATG